CCCCTCCTCAACTCGCTTACCTTCCAGTAACCTATCCCAGGAGACTTTCCCCAGTCTGGCCTTCAGTTGGCCAAAGTTGGCCCTCTTGAAGTCCCAGCTTGAAACATATCACAGGGACATAAGATGAGAAGTTACTTGCATTGGAGTAGATTTACATTACCTGTAAAGCTAGCAGTTATTTCTCGTCTATAGCCAGGTTCTACGATTTCTTCAGCCATTGATTCAGTAGAAGTGGTTGATTTTGTAATACTGCCACTACCATATGTCCTGCATTTTAAAACATGTTACAAATTGCAAGTAAAACAACCTATACACACACACACACACACACACACACTAACACACACACACACACACACACACACACACACACACACAAATATATTCCTTTTATGAAGAACCCAAAGTGGCTTACACATACCAGCTCCTTTCTGTACCCTGTTAGTTGGATTCGTCTGAGAATCAGTGACTGGCCCAAAGTCACCAGGTAGAATGCCTGGCTGGGTTGGGACAAGCACCCAGATGTCCTGAGTTCCAGGTTAATACTACGATGTTAAAACAACTGATTGATTTTAAAGATTTAGCAGACACAGATTATATGTGTCTGTCTTCATACCTTTTCTGAAAGACAGGAGAGTGTGAGCCAATCATAGATCTTGTGGGAGTACCTTCTCCTGATTGAGAGTTACATGATGAGAAAACCCCTTCATGCATGCCTGACAAACAGGCCTCTGAAGATCATAATGCCCTCAAATTTTGTTCCTTCCAAACATAATACCTTGGGAAGTAGATAATGAGTCCAGGAATCCTTTAGGTAAGTAGATATAAGTCATTTAAAATATAAATAAATGAATAAATTTAGAATTTAAAAGCAGGGATTGGCATTTCTGAAATGTCTGAGGGCAAACAAGCTAATTTTGTTTTTTGGGGAGCTCTATAGTGACTACAGACAGCTTTGTTATTTCCTTTGAAAAGACTGTTTTAGATTCAATTCAGGGGGCAACAGAGGTAGCAGCTAGGGGCTGTGCCCACCCCTGCTTTACAGGTTAAAACCATCATCATGAATTGAGCTCAAATTGGTAAACAGTACAGAGCAGATCGTTTCAGCCATGGTTCCCAATGCCGTGAACCATTTAATTGTCTAACCACTATATTTTGCACCAATTTTAGCTTCTAGACACTCTTCCAAGGTAGCTCCTTCTAGAATGCATCTCAGTAGTCTAAGCATGATGTAGCCAAAGTATGGATAAATGCTGACAAGTCAGATCAACTCAGTGGTTTCACAGCCAGCACACCAAGTGGAACTATGCAAATATGTGCCTTGCAACCACCACCACTTGAAGATGCAGGGTAATTATTGAATCAAGAAACACTCCCAAGCCTAATCATTCAACACTTTCTAGAACAGGTTGAATCCTGTTGGGCCTTCTGCTGACTGTTTTGCCTGGATTTACCCTCAGCTTGTTCACCCTCACTCAGCTCATTATCAGATCCAAGCAGAACATTAGAAACATAGAAATAGAGCGAGTCAGAAGGGGTCTCCTGGGCCCTGGCTCTGCTCATGACATGCCTACCATGTGCAAGTCTAGCCTATCTATGAACACCCTCACCGATGGGGCCTCAACCACCTCCCATGGAAGCCCATTCCATACCCTAGGTGTCCTAACTGTCAGGAAGTATTTCCTGGCATCCCCCCCTGAATCTTGGTTCCTTGGTCTCTATCCACTTCCATGTGACACCCCCTCACATACCTATATGTCGTCAACAGATTCCCTCAGAGTTTCCTGTTCTCCAGGCTGAAAAGACCCAGTTCCCTCAGTCTTACCTCATATGGCTTTCCCTGCAATCCGACCACCATCCTTGTGACTCTACGCTGCACTGACTCTAACTTGGCTATATCCTTCCTGTACTGTGGAGCCCAGAACAGAATGCAATACTCCAGTTGCAGACACACCAGAGTCACATAGAGTGGTAGTAATGCCTCTCTCGATCTAGAAGCCACACTTCTGGCTATGCAACCAAAGGGTGGCATTCGCCCTCTTGACCACTGCATCACACTTCTGACTCATGTTTAGCCTGCAGTCAACCAGCACCCCGAGATCCCATTCACAAGCTGCTCTCCAGACACTTGTCCCCTAACCTGTATTTATGACACCCACTCCTATGCCCCAGGTGCAAGACCTTGCACTTATCCACATTAAATGCCATTCTGTTGTCCCCTGCCCACTTCCATAGTCTGTCTGGATCCTTCTAACATTCAAGGGTTACGACTTAGTAGAAGGAAGCAAAGAGCAATAGAGCAGGGCATTACCAGCATATTGGTAGTGCCTTACTCCATGCTCCAAATGTCATCTCTCAGCAGTTTCAAGTGTATTTCAAATCCATGCACTCATATTAAATAATATGCAAGAAAAAATAGAATCCTATGGGCATCATTGGTCAATAGATTTTGGTTTGAACAGTAAGCCTACAGCTCCACCCTCTGGATCCAACCTGACAAGAACAACCACTGCAAAATAGCAATTGACAATTAATACATTCCCACAGCATGTATTAAGTCCAGTTGCAAGCCAATTTCCAATTGTCACTAAAAAGCAACAACAACAAAACCCTCTTCTGCTTAAGGAACCACAAGGCCACAAAAATATTCAAGCTAATTCAAACATAGAAATAGCATTTAATACAGTTTGCATGGTACTGTACCACCACAGAATTTAAAGGGGTTTCATGCATCTGAATGCTCCCTGCTTTGAAGTCTTGAATGGATCCAGTTTTAACTATAGCAGTGCATGCTGCAGCTTGTATCACCATATCTAAATGGTATTTTTAAAGTGGACCTCGTGGTCCTTTTAAATTAGTATTTCTAGCTTACTCAAGACACTGATAACAATTCAGTCATTAAAACGGGAACAATCCTTTCCTTTAGTATGAACTCTGACAGGAATCAAGCCCCCATAAATACTTTTAGATTTAAATACTAAAATACTTTTAGAATCTTCATCTTGTTCAAATTCAAGATGTTCAGACCACAAGAAAAACCACACTCACTAGCTGAGTGTGGGCTGTTGTTGAAGCATGGGTTCCAATTATGCTAAGAAGCCATAGCCTGCTAACCATGATATACCCATGAAGAGAGTTCATGGTCTATTGGTGGGTTTTGAACTGTGGTTGTTTACCATGACTTGTTATGTCAGTTGAGTGAAACAACACATGCTTTACTAACAACATCTGTAACTTCTAAGTGCGGGTTATCATGTTGTCCAAACCCAGTCATTATCTTCTAATAAGAACAGCAACATTTCTAGTTTTGTACTTTGTATATGTGAAATGGGGACACTAAAATAAAATATACCTGAGGTCATAAAAATGATCCAAGAACAGATAGATCAGAACAGCCCACGCTTGTGCCACAATCTTACAACAATATTCACCAGATCCTATTTCTAGCATCTTTAACATTAAGTTCATAGCCATTAGATAGGATAGGTGAAACCATATGTGACCCTCCCAATGTTCAGGCCTACAAATTCCATCAGCCCTAGCCAGCATACCCAAAGGTGAGAGTTGATGGGAATCATGGGTCAAAACATTTGGAGCTCAGTAAGTTACCACCCCTGTCACAAAGATCCAATACCATTTTGACCAGGTGGGTTTTATGGGATGTTATGTCATACCTAGAGAATGGGCCTGCTAAGCTAATGCTGGTGCCCGATGTTTGTTGTAGAGAGAGGGAAGATAAGAATTCATTTTGAGTCACTCCTGCAAAATCTTGCACTGTCAAGATTTTGCTTTGTCTGTGTATGGCAGCACTTGGTTCTGGGCGATAAAGTGGACGTGGCGTTACATCTCTTCCATATTCATCAAAAACCTGTAGACACAAATAAGCAACCAAAATAATTACAAATGAGATCCCCTTCCTGCTTTCTCTGCAGTTCTAGAAATCAACATATATGCAGCTGACTAAGTGTATTGAGACTCACAGAGATGACTTACACATGTGTATTCAGAAGGATGCCCCAATGAGTGCAATGGTCTTACTCCTAAGTGAGCAAGTGAATATATGATTGCAGCCTTCTTATGCCCATTTATTTGGGAATAAGTGTGACTGAATGCAATGTGCCATATTTCTCCGTGTTCAGCCATGGCACTCTCTTCCTGCAACCAACTTCTTCTGAATATTTGTAGGAACCTGGTGACTTTCAGGAGGTGGGTAGATTAATAGGGCACTTGTGTGTGTGTGTGATACTGATTGGATGGATTTTTAAAATGTGCTTTTATTAATACATTTTAGTTATGCTTTATTGGAATTGGAAAAATCATGATAGCATTTTGTAAGCATTCTTCCAGGCCATTGTTGGGATCATCCTAATAAAAGTTGTATTTTGAATTAAAAAAAAAAAAATCTTAGCCTTCGCTCCCACACTCCAAAATGCCCAGGGTTTTTCCATTCAGGCTCTGTCAATGGGAAGGAAGAGGTTCAGGCTTGGCAACTGAGTCACTAACCAGCCAATTGTTTCCTCAAATGCAGTGCTGCAGGCAGAAGGAAGTTACAATGAAACCAGTTTGAATCCACAAAATGAATCAACTTACTAAGGGCCTGGTATGTGGTGTGTGCACCTTTTTAACACCTTACAGCAATGGATACTGTCGCAACAGTGTCTTTCCAGAGCTTCAGAAATAGCCACCAGCTGCTTCTCTGCTTGCTATCTAATACTAAACCAGTTTACTCTTTGTCTTTATGGATTTTCCTACCTCAGACTGTAAAAGCAAACATTGAAAGTATTTGCATTCTGTAACTTTTGACTGTTTTATTTTTAATCTGTTACACAAGCACCTGATGTGTCATGTTTCCCTAATGTTTCTGTATTGTCCTTGTGTGCTTCCATATTGTTCTTGTATTCAAAATCTCATTCCCCTCCTTGCAATGCATACATGACACCAATTCTATAAAATACTCTGTACATTTTCAGTATCTTTGTAGCCAATCTTAAACTGTCATACTTCAGTATATGTGTTCACTGTTAATAAACTGTTGAATGCTTGACTGTACATTCCCTTTGGATCCAGACATTCATTCTTTGCAGGTCTGAAATCCTGACACAATCAGCTGAGGGTCAGTGACATAAGGACTAAACAAACATGCAGAGACACATAAAGTCATAATTAAAATCTATATAAATTAATTAAGAAGGGAAAAATATATTTCCAGGTGACAGTGAACCTTACTATATGTAACAGACTGGGAAATGGAATGGCTGTCAAGAAGCATTTCTTTTTGTTTCATTTTCTTGGTTTGTTTGTTTGTTTTGTTTTGAGCAAACTGATGAGAAAGCATCAAGGACTCAGTGGAGAAAGTGATGAAACTCCCTGTTTTTGTTGGGTGTTCCCAGGCAGGGCTTTTATTGCTCAGTCACACTTAGGATGGCAACCTGTGAAATGCTGCCTGGTTCATGACTTCTAGTAGAACAGAGCAGAGCAGAGCAGAGCAGAGCAGAGAAAGCTTGTCTAGGGCCTCTGGGATACAAGGAGCAAACAGGGAGAGTAAACAGGAGTCTGGGGGAGGAGTTGTAGTGGAAGAGGATACAGAGACAAGCAGAGGCAAGGGCAAAGTAGAGACAGGCCTTCACTAGCCCAGCCAAAGGTCTTTGTTTTCTAAGAGACAATTGAAAGGAAGTTCCAGGTGAGCTGATTGCTGATTAACTGAAGGGGAGTGGCCTGATCAGCCACCAGCAGTTGTGTGGGTGGGGTGATTCATTCTGGTTCCTGGCTCCTAGAAGAGCAGAGCAGAGCAAGCTGCCCCAGCTGGACTAGGGCCTCTGAGGTACCAGCAGCCCAGCTCCCAGGGAGCGAGCCACCAGAGTGAGCAGAGAGAGAAAACAAAAGTTTGGTAGAGGAGTTTTGTTGGGGAGATCAAGGGGGAAGTTCCTAACAATCCCCCCTTTGTTTTTCTTCTTTCTTCACCATAACCACCTCCCACCCCCACATATGCATGCACATTTGTTTCCTTCCTTCCTTGTAACATACCCCCATTTACTAGTGGGGCTGTGTTGCTAACCTTTAGTGAAGACATTTAAGAGCACCAGTTTTCACAACAGCCACCCCCAGACAGAATCACTAAGGTTCCACAAACAATGGACCAAGGAGACTCCGCAGTAGTAGTGGCCTGCAACAACTGAGACAGCTGCACACTAGTAGCCCTGTTACAAGAAAAGGTGGGAGCACTGGAGCAGTGAGCAACCACCTTCCAGATAATAAAAGAAAGTGAACCATTTTTAGACAGAGCAGAGGAACTGCAACAGCTAAGTGTAGTCCAGAAGCAAGAAGAGCATCAGCAAGCTGGGGCAGCAGAAGAGAACCCTGAGGGAAGGGGAAATGAGAAAAGTTGCTAGAACAGGGTAACAGATGCACAACACTCTGCACCAGTGGAAGCAGTGGAAAAATAGAGGGAGGAAAAGGGAGGAAAATAAAAAACACTGTGTCCCAGGTAGTCTTTCCCTCAATCCTACCAGTACGAAGAAATAAGAAAGAATGAAGATCCAGAGCGATCTTAATAAACATGAACATTGAGCTCAAAGCATCAGCATGACATTCAATAAGGTCAAGTGCCAAGTCCTCCACCTAGAAAAAAGAAACCAAATGCATTAATACAAGATGGGGAATACATGGCTCAACAGAACTGAGAAAGATCTTGGAGTAATTGTGGACAACAGGCTAAACATCAGCCAACAATGCAATGCAGCCACCAAAAGGGCAAATGCTATTTTGGGATGCATTAACAGAAGTATTACTTCCAAATCAGTAGTAGTTCCCCTATACTCCTCACTAGTCAGATCTTATCTGGAATACTGTGCCCAGTTCTGGGCCTCAAGATTTAAGATAGATGCAGAAAAAGTAGAAAGGGTCCAGTGGAGGGCAACAAAAATGATCCAGGGTTTCATTTTCAACACTGCCCTATGAGGAGAGACTGAGACAACTTGGCATGTTCAGCCTTGAGAAGAGAAAACTGAGGATGAACATGATATCCCTCTCTAAGTACCTCAAAGGCAGCCACAAAGAGGAAGGTCAAGATCTCTTCTTGCTGATGCCAGAGTATAGGACACAGAATAATCATGGCAAGGTGTGACAACCCAGATTCTGGGTCGATATCAGGAAAAGCTTCCTCACTGTCAGAGCAGCAAGACAGTGGAACCAGCTGCCTAGAAAGATGGTGGTCTCTCCACACTAGAGACATTCAAAAAGAAACTGGACAGCCATCTGAGTGGGATGGTGTAACGTGGTGTCCTGCAACAGCAGGGTGTTGGACTGAATGGCCTTCTGGCCCCTTCCATCTCTACTATTTTATGATTCTACAGTTGTATGAAATGCTAGGAGTGGCAGGGTTTTTTCCAGAATAAACATACATAGGAATATGTATTCCCTCAAGAAAAAATGGTGGAATCATGCCATAATGCCTTTTGATTGCTGGTGATAGAAATGCTCTGTCAGAAGCACCCCTGGTTCCATTGCCAGAATTATAGATATTTTTAGAGTCCATCAGAAGTGGAAGTGCCACTGCATTCAGGTGGCATGAACAGCTTGAGGAAACTATACTTTATTGCAGCTGGAGGAAAAGTTGACATAGTCCAAGAACACTCTTACAATGTGGCAAGCAACAATTATATAATTTTCCCTTCCCTCCACAAAATGAAACAATGCTTCGATCAGCATATGTAACAAAGAGCTATTTGAAGTGCTCTGATGTAGTTCTGGATTAAAATGAACATTTATGAATATATGAGCCTCAGTTCATCCCAGGCCAAAGCACCAAGTCAGGAAAGGCTGGTATACTTTAACCACCAGAACCTTTTTACCAGAGATGCTGGCAGAACTGAACTGGGAACCATCTTCACAGAAAACGCACTGCCACTGACCCTTCCTGTGTGTGTTTAAATTGTGCCTTGTTCTTGCACAAAGCCTATTCAAGCCCGGCCCATAGTTTATTGTGTCATCCAAACCTCAGTAGCAGGACTTGTTTGTGGATTAGCAGGACTTGTTTGTGGATTAAGCAACACTCAAACAACCCATCATTCCCTGTAGGGTTATTTGAAGTTACTTTTTTTACAAAGCAAAGTGCCTGTATTTGGACAAACAGCTATAATGGCCAACCCTCTCTCAGTGGGCTGCAGTGATAGCATGAATCAGTGCAGAGGGGAGTGGGGGAGAGGGGACAAGGGCAGATTTCTAAGGGAATTGCAATATGACATTTCTTTAACATAATTCTGAAATTGGTTTAAATAGTCGTTCTTTTTTTTTTTTTTTTTTTGGTACCAAAGCTTCATTTAAGGAAGTTTTTCAACTGCTTTGGATTCTAAATGTTCCTTTCTCATTAATTGACCCAGAACACATGATCATGGCAGCTATCATGGCTTGCTTCAGTCATGGTGCGTTGAGTCATATATCAACATGTGCTAGGCAACTTTTGCATATTCAAGCCACAGCTGCAGTGTCTTCTGACTCCATATCAATTGAGTCATTGATCAGGTCTGTATGATCACCATAGCCTGCCATCAAGGGTGGTCTATTAACCATTTTGAAAGCCCATCCTCACTGAGTTTGCATGACACAACCACCTGTTGTGCAGTTTGAATATTTGAAATGAGTGCCCATTCAAGCTACAGCCCACTGAGCTTAAATAAGACATGGTAGGTTGCTCATATAAACTAACCTATTGCTTTTTCTCTGAAATATATGTATGAAAAATTTGGCAATTGCAGTATACCTTTGTCAATCATTTAGCTCTTCTGGAAAACAATATTGTTTTAATGTCGCTCCCGTACCTGTACAAGAGGTTTACTGCTTGCTAGAGAACTCTTATCTGCAGACTTTGCCTCTGAAGCCATCACAATGCTCCTGCGAGCCAATGACCCAACTTTGCTGGCTAGCATTGTGCTTGTGACACTCATTCGTCTGCCTGAAGCTGTTGATGATAACTTCTTCACTGAAGTTTGATCTTTTGTGTTCCTGATATAATACAACAAGAGGTGAGATTATACAGCAGATTAGTATCTTTAAAATGAGGTCATTTTGTCAGTTTTCATTAGCAAACATCTATTACTAATTTCCTAAAAAAATTAGAAAGAAAAGCAATGCTACAAGTTCAGTAACTGACAACAGTGGATAAAGGGAGCCACCCACAGAGCCATATGTAGGTTTAGACATGCTGTTGGCTTGCAGCAGCCATCATCCCTCACAATTGGCACAGGGCTGGTGAGAGCTGCAGGCCCTAACATCTGGTGGATTTCAGGTTTCCCACCCGTTAGAGGAGGACTGCCTAACCTGAGCCACCCATATGGTAGCAGTCCTTAACTATAGCATTCTCTAAACTCTCTTAGCATGTAGTTTCACTAACAAAGAAATGCCATGTTTTTAAGAATACCAAGACTGGTGGTTATGCATGTTGGCATGAGCTGCTAAATCATCTCACATTATATTATAAATTTAGGCAAGTGACAGAAGGATCATGTGCCATATCTAGAATACCAATGCTTCTTTAAATAGTCATCTCTTGCTGCTGAACTATGGTCACTCATTTTCAGTCCAGAAAAAAAATGGAAGCTGGACAATGACTTTATGTTAATCTGTGTTGTTGCAATGCTTGTATCCACAAATGCTTTGGGTGACTAATTTACTACAATACAGTACTTCCTCCTTATGAAGCACAACCCACTGCACAAAGTTCTTGGGTGAATAAAGTAAATGAAGCAACATGTTAATTTGCTTTTTCTGATAACATCCTGATAACGTCAATGAGAGTGCGGGAGAGATCCTATCCTCCTTCCTTTCAGGTTTTTGGTAGATTGTTCCATAAAAGTTATTTGTGATGAGGATGTGAGGAGGGGCAGTATATCACTGATTTATTATGATTCTGGATGAAACTTTTAGTGTACAATCAGCTTTCTTCTTTCATGTATTTTTATGTGGGTTCTAGATACCATCATCTTCCATTTGTAACACTCTTGTGTTTTACCATAGAAAACCCATTAAGGAGGGGAAGATGGAAGAACTGTACACACTTTCTAACTGGTAGCAGTCCTACCCTCATTTAAAAAGTGGGTGTATGATGATTGCTAGTATAGGATATACCTGACTGGCCAGCATTAAGCCTGGGCAGGCTGGTTACTTGCCCAGGTGTTATTTATGAAATCGGAGCCATCCACATGGCCAGGGATTAAGAAATCCCTCACTAGAACTCCCAGCCCAACACCCAGGTAGCCCAGCCTCCCAAGTAAGCATGGGAACTACCTGAATTCAAATGTACCAATCAGCACTCATGGTGGGAATTTCAAACCAAGGAACATCTGTCATCGCTGACCTGGTCAGCAAAGGTATAAAAGGGGACTTCATTTTTGTGCTCTGGGTCAATTGCCCTTTTGCTTGCAATCAAACCATTCTCAAGAATTAAATACAATTTTGCTCCTCTCACTCTTGTCATGCTTGTGTCGTGTGGCTGGTGCTCCTTCCCAACAAAACCATCACTCCAGCAGATACTGCAAACATCTTTATTCTAAACAGCTATACATGTAAAATCAAAACAGGATAGAAAGTTGACCCCTGGCTCTCTCAGTCACACCTCCAGAGGTGGGGCACTGTGAACTCTTGTCATCCTTAAGCCAATTCCAGCTGCCCCAGTCTGCATGTGCGCCGGTGAGAACAAGCATCCTCAAATCCCTCTAGCTCCTTATCAGTTTGGTTCTCACACTCTGTATCAGAGTTCATTCCCTTGTTTACCCCAAATCACCCTGTTCCTGTGCCTCTGCTTTGTCTTCTTCAGCACCACAGTATTTGGCTCTATCTTACTCTCACTATCTGTGAGAGTGTGGTGCGGAGTTTGTTCTGCTGGTACCAGAAATAAATCTTCACTGACACTCTGGTTCTTTTTTTTTTTACCCCTTTTTTATTTATTTTTAAATACAGAAAGCAAAATACAAAAACATAAATAAAAACATGACAATATCAATATTATACCACACAAAACCCAACTAATAAGTAAAGAATTAAATAATATTGTGCCCCCCGCACCTGCTGACACTCTGGTTCTCATGAGAATCCCCCCCCCCCCTTGTGCATGTGTAAGAGACTCTTCTGAGTGTGTGTGCACAACAGCTTGATTGAGTGGAGCACACCAAGTCCAGACCCTTTGTGTCCTTCACTAGGAAGCAGGTTCTGGAGATAAGGGACTCCATGCAGACATAATGCTCAACTATCATATTGGTTCAGCAATATCTGAATGAGCCTTGGATTAATCAGTTTCTTTCCCCTCTGGAATGCTGATGATAAAGGAAGTCAGAAGCATTCCTTTCTGTTTTAACTAATTATACTTGAACTTTATGTCTAAACCCATGAAGACTGTAGAAATAAGCCTACTTCAAATAGAAGTTTTTGAAACTGGCTTATTTCAGTAAACTAGGTAAGATTAAGCACAGTTTAGGGTTTGGTAATAATACTGACTGTGGTTCACTGAAAGTGGAAGTGAAAAGCTTCTGCGTAACTGTATAGAGGAGAGGGAATGGGGAGAAGCCAGATCCCAAAGTTTGTGCTTATGAAATGAAACCACACTTAAGCATTTCATTCAAACTAGATATTGTCTCAAAAGGTGTGCTAAATATAAAGATGTTGTGGCGATTTTAAGATGAAAAAGATGAGAAAATTGGGGACTAATTATAGATTCCATAAGAGAATGTAAGTTATAGTTAGGCAATGGATAGTGAAGTATGGACATGCACCTTATGTGAGGAGGATTTTGGGAGGATGGAGTATTTAGATTTGGGGTATGGAAATAGTCCATTCTAGTGAAAAAAAAAAAAGGAATAAACAAAGCTTTTGCTGATTTTTCCCCCTGTAAGTAGTTTAAATGTTGTGTATTGTATGACAGTATAGACTTTCCCTTTGCTGTTGTAGTCTGCAATGATAAGAGGAAAGGCTACTCTAGGAGTTCAAGGTGCTATACTTAGGCACTTCATATTATTAAGCACTTTGCTACATCCTGCAATGAAACTTCAGAAAAGAGTAAAATCAAAGCACTAATGATAATAATGTTATTTATATCATAAAACTTTAGCATTTTAGTACATAAAATTATTTTAAGTATGGAATTAAAAAGCTCAATCAAAATATGCATAATTGACAATTTCATTAGCCACATGATCAGAGAATATTTTAGGTTCCAATATCACACAGGAAACTACCTCTTGCTTCTTGGCCCAGCTCCCTCGTGCATACTGGAAGTGGCAAGTTGCATCATCCATGTATTTTAAAATGAAAGGTTTGAGGGAAGGAAATACTGCTCTTGGCTGAAAAGCTTGAGTGGCATTTAGAACTACCTCAATCATCCTCAGACTCAATTGAAAAATCATTTAGCAAAAGGCAGAGAGGTATATGTAAGGGGAATCTTAACTTCTATGGCACAAAACAGCCTTCCTCAATCTGGTGCCCCTTCAGATGTGTTGGACTATAACTCCCAGCATTCCTCAGATTCCCAGAAGGGGGAATCTGGCTGTTGGATATCTGGACTTTATGCCTTTTTTCACCACTACCACCCTGGTCTCTCTGGTAAAAATCTGTTTCCCTTCTGTTATTTAGGTGGGTTTCTTTCAGGAATGCTCCCAAAATATGGGTGAGAAAGAAAATCTCCATCATGAAATAACTAACTGGGGATGCCTTCCTTTCCATCTTTCTGTTACACCCAATAGTTCATCCTTTCCCCAAACCAGCCTTTGCTACTTGCGTCAGCAACACAGATGGCACTTACACACTGATAATGATGCTTTGCCTCTTGACCCGGCTAGTCTGGACAGAAGGGGGGCCACCGTTGTCAGACATAGCAAAATTGTAGTATCTGCCTCCTGGTAGGATGACAAGGAGAAGATGACTCTGAAATAGCAGCAACAGCTGGTGCAGGCAATGATACAGCGGAGAACTATTGGGGCCCACCTTGTGCCCTGGTTCCTTGGGATGCTCTGCTTTAAAAGCTGTGCACCAAAAAAGAAACTCACAAGAGTACTTGCTTGTTTCACTCAGCAGCTGCTGCTTAAACATGAAGCTGTTTATATGGTAACCATGGCAGCTACCTTGGCAGCATGCAGTCATGTCATTGGCTAACAGTGGCACAGAGAGAGGTGGGAAGGGTGGGGGAAAATGAGAGTGGGGAAGAGAGAGACTAGACAAATTGATAGCCTGGAGCTGTTCTTCTTGGGGAAATATTAGTTGTGTTTCCTTGCCACTTGTCTGTTCTATTCAAGAGATTTTATTGCCATGGTCAGTTATGAATTTTGTGAATGCTGCCACTGGTTCCAACCTCTTACAAAGAATAGTGGTACATTCCAACTGGTTGACAAGTTTGACCTACTCTTGTGCATTCTCTCTCTGTCATGCACTCATGGCTTGTATGTAATGTGATGCCACCTCAGCTATTAGCTTGAGCTCCCTCAGGATTATGCTAGATTCTCACTATATGTTTGCTTCAAAAATTCATGCATAGCTCCATGACAGGCCACCTGTTTTGCAGGCAGAAAGCTATGAGATGAATCCTTGGCAACCATTTGAAATAGCCAGGAAGCCAGTGATGGGAAATACCTCTGCTGCAATCCCCAGAATGCTGCTGCCCATTGGAGAAGGCAACACTGAGGGAGGGAAAGTGGATAAAAAGTTTGACTTGGTATAAGTAAGCTTCCAATGTTCTTATGAAATAAATGACAAAGTTCCCCCACCCTACTTTTAGAACATAGGAAAAGTCATTCTGAGTCAGACAAAGGATTCATCTAGACCAGCATTCTGTTTTCACAATGGTCAACCATCTCATCTCATGGTATCCTGCTCAAGTTCTCCAGCAACTAGTATGCACAGGCAAAGTGGCTCTGTTCCTGGAGGGATAATTTAGCCTTCAGCTATTGTAGTCATTGGTAGCCTTCTCCTCCTTGAATTTGCCCTTTCTTTTTAAAGCCATCCTAAATTGTGGCCATCACTACATCTCATGGAAGTGAGTTCCATAGTTTAACTTTGCACTGTGTGAAGAAGTTCTACCTTCTATCTGTCCTGAATCTCCCACCTATCAGCTTCATGGGCTGATCCAGTTTCTAGTATTATGGGAGAGGAAGAAAAATGTCTCCACCTCCATTTTCTCCATATCATACATAATTTGCACTTCTCTCCTTACTCTCCATTTTTTAAACAGTCTCAACTGTTGTAAACTTGCCATACTGGGGAGCTGCTCCAGCCTCTTGATCATATTTTTTGCCCTTTTCTGCATTTCCTCCAATTTGATAATATCCTTTTTAACCAGAACACCATGCAATATTCTAGGTGCAGTTGCACCATAGATTTGTATAAGGGGAGTATGACACTGTCAGTTTTAAGTGCTTTTTTAAATTTCTAACCTGGAGTTTGCATTTTTCACAGACGCTATGCACTGGATCAAGATTTTCACAGAGCTCTCCACCACCTTTCCCATCCCAGTGCCCTCCAGATATGTTGTACTGCAACTCCCATCATCCTTAGCTATGACCCCACTGACTGGCAGTCATAAATGTGCAATGCAACACACCTGGAGGGTACCAATTTGGGAAAAGTTGCTCTAGAGACAATTATTATTGAGAATGGCATATTTCTTTTGCAGGAAATTCCCTTATTGGCAATTCTTGCCTTCCCAGAGTTATTTCCTAGCAGGAGAGAGGAGGCATGCAAAAATTCAGGGTGGTTGTTTGTATGAGCAAACAGCATTCATCGTTCTTGTGATTGTCAGTGTGGAGCAGATCCATGCTTTCTGCATTATGCTATGCATTTGTTTTATTGTGATTGTGATTGTGATTTATTTATTTATTACATTTTTATGTTGGCCAATAGAGCTCTGGAGAGTTCATAGCAATTTAAAGCAAAAATATATCATAGATATACTGTAAATATTTAAATATTTAAAACTACAGTATAAAATAGAAGTAAAAAATCAGAGTGAAGACTATCAGCAGTGCAAAAATTTCAGTACAATAAAAGACTTAAAACAAAACTGAAATTTCTAGGCAACTATAATACTTGGGAAAATTCTTGTGGAAACAGGGACTTCACCTGCCCCAAGAAAGGCTCCTGCAGAGAAACTGTTAATGACAATCAGCTCTGAGGCAAGTATATATTGGAGGAGAAGACACCAAGCAGTTTAGGACTTTTTAAATTACTCATTGGTCTTTGAAACAAGACCAAAAAGGGATGGATAGCCAGTGCAAATAGTGAAACAAATCATGCTAGCCAGACCCTGTTAGGGATCTCACTGCCTTATTTTGGATCAGCTGGAGTTTCCAGACCATTTTCAAAGGCAGTCAGATGTATAATGTATTGCAGTAATCAATGAGAAGTTACCAGAACATGGACAACTGTAGCTAGGCTATCCTTGTCCATCCTAAATTATGTATCAGCCTAAACTAATAAAAGGTGCTCTGTGCCACTGAGTCGACCTGTGCCTCAACTGAGAGTGGTGTATGTAGGAGCCATGGACCTGGAATCTGATCCTTTAGAAGGCGTTCAACTATGGTTGGGACAAACCCTGGTGGAATCCATCCCTTTAGTACTCATAGACTTCATTTCATGCTCAGCCTGGTCTGGCAAAGTGAACTATGCCAAGAGGAAGTCTCTGAACACTTGCAGAATGAAGGTTGTGCAATTGGCACACAGGGCGCTCCAGGTAGTGTGGAAAAAGAACACTGCTTGCACAGCCAATGGAGCTTAATTCCTGGTGAGTACCCCAGAACACCAGGTGTGTACACCAGCAACTCAGACTCAGGAACATGGCAAAGAGGATTGGAGTCTGGAGGATTGGAGTCTCAGTGTACTGGATTGAATCTCAGTGTACTGGCTGTCATCTAGTCTATTACTGTGTCTAGATGCTGATTCAGAACAGTCACTGCCTCACCTGAATTTGATGAAAAGGAGAGATAGAGCTGGGTTTCATCTGAATGTTGATGACACCTCAGGTTACACCTCCAGATAACTTCTACCAGCAGTTTTGTAAATGTTGAACAGCATGGAAGATAAAATTCAGCCTTGTGGAACATAACTGCCAGAGCACAGATCAATGTTTCCCCAGCACCACTTTCTGGAATTAGCTATAAGGGGGAAAACCACTACAATGTAGTGCTCCCAACACCTAATCCAGGAATATTATTCAGAAAGCTACCATGAGCAATGGCAGTGAAAGCCACTAAGCGTTCCAAGAGAATCAACTGGCTAGCATTCACCATTCCATTCCTGGCAAAGGTCATTCAACAGTGTAATCAAGACAGTTTCTGTTCAAAATACGGAGAGACATTGTGGTCAGATTTTGGTCATATGCTGAAAAAGAACAACTGATACAGAAATTACAGAATATGACATCAATTATGTTGGAAGGTCATCAGATTCAAGTCATTCCTGATTTATGCAATGAGACTTTGCAATGGAGAAGAGATATGTCCCAAGTCTGCCAAATATTACAAAAGAATTCCATAAAATACAGTTGGGGGTTCCTCATTTTTATGAGGTTTTCATATAATGGAAAATATTATAGAGTTGATACATTGGAATTATAGAGGAAGCATTGGAATTACTGAAGACGCTCGGAATTATCCTTGATGATGAATACACAGCACAAATGCAAAAGTTAATGGACATGTCTACATTTTCAAGAAAGAAGACAGAGAAGGAGAGAAGAGACAGGGAGGATCAGAAGCTGGATATAGCAGCAGGAGGTTCATCTTCTCCATAGAGTCAGAAAGAAGAGGAGATCCAGAAGAAGAATGAAAAGTTCCACATGTAATAGATATAGAATGTATTGTATTTGTTAGTGTTGAAATTATTACTGAAATACAAGAGAAATTTGAGTATAGAATAAAAGGGTATAGATGGTTGGGGAGGGTAGAGTGGGTGTCTGGGGTCTGTACAGGGGAGGTTCTCCCCCCCCCCAACCTGGAAGCCCGAAGCAGCCGGGAGGAGAACATCTCCTGAAGATGAGGAAGGGGGTTTCCACATATAAATATGGTGGGGAATATGGCAGAGGTACAGATAAGTTCAATTGGGGTTTTGTCATGTTTTTGTTGCAGTGTTTATTTTATCACATATGGAAATCAAAAGAACATTCGATGTATTAAAAGACTGGGAAAAACACTGAAGATTGTGTCTTGGAATACAAATGGCTTGGGAGAAAGACATAAATGAGCCAGAATTGAAAAATCTATATATAAAGAAAAAGTAGATACTATATTTTTACAAGAGACACATCAAAAGAAAGATGGAGTAAACGAATTAAAATTACATTGGAAAGACGTATACAAAAAATCATATGGCACATCAAAATCAAGAAGTGATGCAATTATTGTTGCCAAAAGATGTGAATTTAAAACAAAAGCTATAAAAAGAGATCATTTGGGGAGATTTCTTATAATACAAGGTCTGATTTATGGACAAGAGGTGACGTTAGCTAATATATACACACCTAATATAAATCAAAGGGAGTTCTATGATAAGGTATATGATGAAATAGAAGAATTAAAAAGAGGATATGTGCTAATGGAGAGTGATTATAATATGGTTATGGATAAAGAAAAAGATAAATCTAACCCATCAAAGTTAGATATAAAATGTAAGAATACAGATTTAAGTAGATTTATTAATGAAAATAGATTTAAAGATGTTTGGAGAGAGTTAAATGGGAACCAGAAAAGTTATACATTTTTTCAAATAGACATAAAATTTTTACAATAGATTACATATTTGTAACATCAGAAATATTGCCCAAGATAGTTAATGCAGATATAAAACTAATTAAAATATCAGACCATGCAATGATAACAATGGAAATGGAAATAAAATGTGATTACAGACA